TTAAAGGAAAAATTTATTAACTATTATAAAGATTACTATTTAAAATCTATTTTTAGCACCTAATTTAAATCTTTTCAAAAGTTCTTTTATATTTAGGTTTTTAGCATATTTTTAAAAACTTAGTTTTTTGCTCTAATGCCACTAATTATTATCTTCCTCTAATTCTATTATGATTGTAGATAATATATTATTATATTTTGTAATGAAATCGATTTTGTAATGTTAGGATAAAATGTATAATACTGTGACATTATATTGTTTGAGGATAAGTTTATGTTGTAATGTTGGGATAAAGTATATAATACTGTGACATTATATTGTTTGAGGACAAATTTATGTTGTAATATTGGGATAAAATATATAGTACTGTGACATATTGTTTGAGGAAAAATTTATGTAGTAATATATTTAATGAATTTAAGTATAAATCTTTACAAACTTTTTCCCCCCATTTGTTTAGCCTATATGTACTATTTATACAACCATAATATATACAAGTTAACTTTTACCATCTTTACATATAGTTGAAGCTCTTATGATCTTTTTATAATTTATTGAATTTTATTAAGAAGATTTTGCTTTGACTTTGTAGTTTATTTTTATCAAGTTACATGGGTAATGTGATGTTTCTATTCTTACCCCTCCTGTGCAGTGCCGGATCAAGGAGGGGGCTATAGCCCCGGGTCCTGCATATTTAGAGGCCTCAAAAAATTTTAGAGGGCCTTTTTTTATTCTAGTCATTGTTAGGCTCTGGCCTCAAAAAACAAATATAGCCTCGGGCCTCAAGAAGTCTTAATCCGCCACTGCTCCTATAGGGACTCGACTTTTTTATACTTAAAAATGTATATGGTCAAAAAAAATTTACAATGCTTTGTTACTTACAGACATTGCCGTTATTTACAATGCTTTTTTTACTTACAGATACTGCCGTTATTTACAATGAATCTTTACTTACAGACATTGCCGTTATTTACAATGCTTCTTTACTTACAGACATTGCTGTTATTTACAACGAATCTTTACTTACAGACATAAATAATGGATGTTTTCTTAAAAACAGAGCCGTGCAGAGGGTGAGCCACGCGAGCATATTATTCAGGGCGCCGTCCCCCGGGGCGTTCCCAACAGTGCATATAGTAACACACGTATAGTGAAAAATGTTCAATGCTACCATATATATATATATATATATATATATATATATATATATATATATATATATATATATATATATATATATATATATATATATATATATATATACACATACAGAGGAATCTCATCAGTTGAATTCCTGAGCATGAACATTCAAATATACATAAACAATGCTATATTCAGTGGCGTGAATTCGAAGTTTGAATAAAAATTGATTAGTCATTTGAACATTTTGAAAATCGCTTAATCCTCAATAAAGCAGCCACCTAAAGAAAAATTCTGGAGCGAATCTTGGATATGATTCTATTTCTTGGTTAAAGTGGATTGGCTTTTCATGGAAAATCTAACCTAATTGGAGATTCTCATTATGGAAATTTCTTAGGATTGCTGGAACTGTTTTCGCATTATAACCCAATTCTTAAGGAACATGTGATGAATGTTAAGCAATCACACGACAAGGGACAAGTGCTTTGGGCCACTAAATTTAATGCTACTCCTGATGTGAGCTATACTGAACAAACTTCGTTTGTCGTTCGATATTTACATAAAGAGTAACCTGGAAAACTTTAAATTATAGAGCGGTTGTTGATCTTTGCAGATTGTGCCAAGAAGACTGGATCTAATACTGGTTGTTGAATTTATTCTGGAAACTTTTAAAATTTATTTTGAAGACTGCCGTGGCCAAGGCAATGACAATAGAGACAACAGGTCTGGATAATACAAGGGTGTTCAAGCAATCTTAAAAAATAGCCCATTGTCTGTATTCTCACCTTGTGGTTTTCATTCATTGAATTTAATAGAACTTTGCTTCAACTGTACAGATGTTGCGACTTATTTTGGTACTATTCAAATCAAGTATATATTCTTCTTTGCTAGTCAACAATGCTGGGAAATATTGAAAAGAAGGCAATAAACACACCTCTATGTGTTCCAGATTGCTCATGCAAAGACACACCTCCATGATGTACCTTCGCATGGGCAATCTGGAACTTAATGAATTGAGAGACTTGGCAGCATTTGCCATTTTTCTAATTACTTAAACCAAATCATTGAATCTTTGGAAAAAGTTCACTGCTTGAATCTCACGTCTAAAGTAAAAACAGAAATTAGAGGTGCTCTGAAATATATGAGCTCCTCCAAATGTGAAGGAGCTCATAAAATGCAATTTTGGAAGAAGTCAAATTAGCTGCCAATACTGCAATCAGTTCTGAATTTCCAAACTTTTCATTCACTTTTTCAACTTATTAAACAAAATTTCTAAAAAGAAACTTGGAAAACTCCTTAGAAATGTAGTAATTGCACTGTATATTTTTGCTTCAATTCCAACAACAGTGTTCTCAAATGAGCGGTCATTCAGAAAGTTGAAGGTCATCAAGAATTTTTTTGCTCAGTTATGGGACAAGAATGTAGAAGTAATCTTCATAGTTAATGACACGGAAGGCCAGGGTGGTACGTGCCCCACTTTTTTTGTAAAGATTCATTTTTTTTTTTAAATTCTAGATATAGAGAACTTTTTTTAAATTTTGACAATTGTTCTCCTGCCCCCACTTTAAAAACCCATAATGTCGGCCCTGATCTTGCGATTTTGAGTATCGAGTGTCTATTAGCACGAAGTCTTGAGTTCCATTATGTGAAGAGTTTTGAAAACAAAAGACAAGAAAAATTTATTAAAAAAAAACAAACACAAAAGTGTTAAGAATTTATCAATGCACATTTCAAGAAAACCAAACTCATTCACTTCGGTTACCTACCATGAAGAACGTGGTCAAATAATGTAAATAAAATGCTAGTTGATAATTTTTATTAGAAGTAGTATTAACTTACGTAAATATCAATATTAAAGAAAAACCAGATAAAAACATAAAAAATTTAGTTAAAGAACTTGGTTATCATTCATTTGCTATTACTCAGGCTATAAAATAACAGAAACAAAAGCTGGATTACTTAACTATAATTATTTTCAAGAAAAATAATAAAAAAATTTGAGAAGGCTTTTTTTGGGGGGAGAAAGGAGGAGGATGAGGGAGAGGGGGTGCTAAGCTTTCAAATTAAATTTTTTTTACCAAAATGTAATTTAGCAACCATTTATATAGAAAGTATGACGCAAGACTTTAATTTGGTATTAAAAACAAAATAATAACACAAATAACATTATTAATAATAGTAATTAAATAATATAAAATTCTAAAACACAAAATAGAAATTACAATAAAATAAAATTCTGGCAAGAATTTTTTTATTCGGAAGAAAACAGACTTGTCTTATAACCGAATCCCGTTACATTTGTGTTTTCAAGTTATACACAACTTATAAGTGATAGATAAAACAGTATAAGTACATACAAAACTTCAGCAATTAAATATATTTTTGCTAACAATCTTTCAGCGGAATAATTTAAAAAAGCATAAAATAAGATAAAATTCAGATAATCACGAAAGTTACCAATCGCTAAATATTGCGTTAAGTTTTATTAAAGATAATGCAATATAAATAAGTATTTAGGGATGAATAAAAAATATCAGCAAAAACATAAAACGAAAATGTAAATCAATTAGTAAAAAAGCAAAATTAATTTTAAATGATTTTTTGTATTCAAAACCTTTAAAATTTTTTTTAAAAAAGATATTTGAAATTTAGTTTATCTAAGTCCAAGTTTAGTAAATGCTGTTTTGAATCAGCCTTAAAACTTTCCAAAATGCAGTTTAAAACGAAGTTTTGTTTTTCATTAAGTTTTTTAAACAAAAGGTCCCTGATATTGAATTTGGGCTTAATTTAAGATGGTTTATGGAAATGATAACGTTGTTCTTAATATCTACGAGCAAAATATATATTGCATTCTTCAGTTCATGTTTAAACTCAAAAATGATCTGGTCCCTGAAGTCTTTCATAACTATTTTCACCTTATTAATCACAAATATCAAACAAATACTCTATCAAGAATTACTATATTCCAAAAACCTCTTTAAGACAATCTAAATTCTCAATATCCAGCAGAGGACCCCATTTGTAGAACTCATTTCTAACAAACAAAATAAAAACGATAAATTCCAACATTTTAAATTCGTTGTAAAGCAACAGCTACTAGACACATGTATTATAAATATTTTATTACATTTGTATTTGGTTTATATTTTATTATATTTTGTCAACGACAAAAATGGGGCAAGATGATAAGACTATTGTCTTCTACTTGCTCCAGTCATATATTTCACGGTAAAATTTTGTACAAATTTATATTAATAATGACGAATAAATATATATATATATATATATATATATATATATATATATATATATATATATATATATATATATATATATATAAATGTTCATAGAGAATTTGGTAGGATATGAGAGATTTTATCAAAGTAAGATTAAAATGTTGGAGATGCTTTTAGTTGTTACGTTTTAGTTTAGTGTGATTAGTGTTACCCCAGGCCCATATATATATATATATATATATATATATATATATATACATATATATATATATATATATATATATATATATATATATATATATATATATATATATATATATATATATATATATATATATATATATATATATATATATATATATATATATATATAAATATATATATATATATATATATATATATATATATATATATATATATATATATATATATATATATATATATATATATATATATATATATATATATACATGTATATTAAATATGTATGTGCTAAATAAACTTGTAATAAAAGTTTAATTTTTGATGAAGCATATGTAAGATACAGTTCGGTCAGTTAAAAATAAACTTTCTCTTGTAATAGTTGTATAAAAAGAAAGTAAAAAGTTTAAATTTTTGTAATAGATTGGAGTAGAACAATGAACAGCCTCATCAATAACGACTTAAATGCAACCTTTAAAGTTTTACGAAAAATAACATCCTCATCATTAAAGATTTATGCGGAAGGATTGGTGGGAATGGAAAAAAGAGCTATTGAGGAATACACCCACTTAAATAAAAAGCTTTTATCATTGAAAGGGCAAGCAGTATCTATTAAAAACATGATTGGTAAGGAACTAATGTTTTTATCCAAAAAGATATAATAGACTAGCTGAAGGGACAAAGAAGCCAAAAATTATTTAAAATTGTGTTACAATCTTAGCAGTATAATTACTCCTGCGGTAAGACTGTCAACGGGTGGGTATCCGGCCACCCGTTGACTAATAATAGAGTAACATTACTAAATGACGGTTAACTGTTATTTGATAAATTTATGTTCATTTTACTTATTTATAAACTTTAGAACTATTAATCATAATATACCAGTTTAACATATTTTTTGTTCCCAGTCTCCAATTATTGCAATTTTTTGCAAAGCATCTTTATTTTACATAAGTATAAACATACAAATATGTTTGGAGTTAGCTCCATTTTTAGAAGGAATTTACTTATTTGATTCTTAACCAATATCAAGTTATTTTAAACGAGGACAAACTTTTCCTGCTGGTATGTCAACTAATTTCTTTTTAGCTAAGTTTGGTTTTATTACAATAAAAGTTTTTTTTTATTTTGTAAACTCTATTAAGTAGTGGTTGCACATTGCAAGGACAAGTTCTAAGGATAAAATTTTTTTGATATTCGGGACGAGAAAATCAAAATCATTAGCAAAGGAAAGTATTGCTTAGGTAAGACGCTAAAATATAAACTTTAGGGTGTTTCTTTCCGCTCAAACAAAACATTTGTACTTGTCTTTTTTTTTTTTTTTTGGCCTAAAAAAGCAACATCTAAGAGTTTTGTGAGTTGTGTACTGTTAGGAAGCACACATAAAAATGCAATATTTTCTTCTCTGCAATTTTAAAATATAGTAACACTAAGGTGACTAAATAGATTCTCAGCAATGAGAATCTTTTTACTTATTATCTTAAAGTTAAATTTAGCGTGATGTCGTTTAGAAAACAATTCCCTAGAAAAATCACAAACTTTTACTGGATACCTAATACCTTGGTGAATTACCAATTTTCTTTTTCCAAGATCATCAGTCAAGTTGGTTTAGTCTAGGCTTTATATATTTTTTGTAGGCTCGTTTTTCACAACCTTCTTAAAATTTGCGATATATGCTCGTATTATTTCCTCGTTTACTGCAGTTCAAAAGCATTTGTTATTTGTCGCAAACCGTTTATTTAGTCTGGGGTATCGTATTAAAAAAACAATTATCCAATTTTAGGCGGGAATATTACTTAAAAACTGTTTAAATTTTTTATTTATTTTATTTACAAAGCAACTCATTGTAAATCTTAAATCTCTCTGAGCCAATAGAAAATCACTCTCATGGCTTCAATATATGGAACAACAAATCTTCTTAAAATCTTGAAAATTTAGGTTGCTTACCGTCATCTTATCAAATGTTTTTTCTTAAGCTGATTACAAATTGTTTTTCTTGGTATGTTAAAATGATTTGCAGCTATACGTTGACTTAGTGTCAATGTATAGCCGGAAATTTTTTATTAAATCCAAAAGAAATTGTAATGTTTCAGTTAAATAAGATTTGAAACAACGAGCTTTTAACTTTCACTTTTAATGTGTCATCTTCCTTAAAAATAATTTGCATCTTTTTTATTGCAGCAACATTTTAAATCATTAAATTTAAAAAAATAAGGTGGATTTCATCATTCCTTCAGCTGTTGCAAAGTTGCAAAGACCTTTTTGGTCAAAACATGACACCCAAATTATTTTCAACAACATGTTTAAAAAAAACAGCTTAATTCTATTTTGAATAAATTAAACTACAGATAGTTTCTTCGCATAAAAAAACTAAATAAATTAATATAGTTCTCGTGTAGAAACACGCCACTTTATTTATTTTGTAGCAAGTTACAACATAAAGAAAAATCTGTAGCTAGTTGGTTGTTACAAATCGTAGCTTTGTAGCTAGCAGTATTATTACTACAGGTAGTAGATATGTAGCTAACTAAAATATAATAACAAATCTAAAGCTAGTTGTAATTGTATTGTAGCTTTTTAGCTGGCGATGTTGTTGTATTATCTCTTTAGCTTAATTATCATTATGTAGTAGCGTTGTCGGTAGTTACTACATAATGATAATTCTATAGGTACTCGGAGTATTATAGTCAACTATCACTATATATATGCATATATATATATATATATATATATATATAATATATATATATATATATATATATATATATATATATATATATATATATATATATATGCATATTGCGGAATGTTGGCTATAGTATATATCGTAGCTTTGAAACTTGCTAAAACATAACTACTAATCTATATTAATTATTTTATTTTTTATACTATATTATATTATTTTTTTTAATGATTTTATTTTGTTTACAGGTTTTAAATAATAAAAAATATGGTTTTTATTTGATCTTTTTGGCTATTCAGTATATTCATATAGGTATTTAGAAACCGATTGTCTCCATTCGCGTCTAATTTTATTAAATTAAATTAAATTTTAATTTTATAAAATTAGTCTAATTTTATTAAATTAAATTAAATTTTATTATTTAATACATTGTTTAACTATGCTTTTAATCAATCCAACTAAAAGTCAGTGCAATAATTTCTGTTTCAAAACCCTTGCCGTGTTATACTTCTTCAAACAAAATATTTTGCCGTGTTATAGTTCTTCAAACTTTATTGTACAAAATTTTATTTTTGATTAAAAAAGAATAATCTATTATAAAATATTTGTCCTAGAATTTTTAAAGTATATTACTATTATTATTATTTCATTTATTTAACACCCAATGTAATTTACAAGGTAAAAAAGAAAACTTAGAAAGTTATTTCTCGTGATTTTTACTTAAGAATTTTTTCCTCCAGAATTTGTTTAAAATATGTAAGAACAGATTGGCATAAAATTAGTAACATCGTAAGGATCACCTGATTTTAAAAATTGAACTACTCAAGTAATTTTCAACTTTTCCAGGAAAATTTTCTCTACATAGATAAATTAAAGATATACAAAAGCGGAATTATTATAATCTTTATTAAATTTATAATGATGTTATCACTTATATTGTCGACTCCTGTACTTATTTTTAGACTAATCAGAGAAACTGCGCATTTCTTCTTCGGTTGATTTATTTTCGGACCTAACATTAGTGTTATTAGAGATTAAATATTCATCAAAGTTGGTTTGAGAATATTTAATTTTCGATTCTATAGAAGGACCAACATTATTAAAAAAATTTATTAAGTGTTTCAGCCACTAATTGTTTTTTTATAACATTGTTATTATTAATTTTGAGAAATTTTGGAACAATATTTCATTCTAGATTATTTTTACCAATAATTTCTTTAATTATACTTTGAGGATCAGGATGCGGATTCACAACTCTTTCGTAAGTCAAAATTTGCGTAAAGTTTGCGTAAGTTTTGCTTAACTTCAAAGTTACGCAAAGTCATATTCACGAACATTGTGTAAGAAAAAACTTACGAATTTCTTAAGTTTTTAAAAAACGGTATTTCGTTTTCCTAAACATTTTTCTAAAAAGTGCTCAGCAAACTTTACACAGGAAAAGTTACGACTGTTATTTTCTGACTTTTTTTTTTGTTGTTTTTGGCGTAACTTGAAATCGTCTAATAATATTATAAATAGACGTTGTTCTTATTGTAAAAGATTTCAGATTTTGTATGTTGTTGCCAATAAAATATAATTTTATATTAACTTTATACTGCTATACGTTAAGTTATTTTTTTAAGTAATGCAATTATAACCTTTTTTTTTAACAGCAACAACAATAGCAATATATTTACCCAAAATATAGATGTACTACATATATGTTTTATAATATTTGCTTTCACATTTAAGGTTAAAAAATATACATACAATCTATATAATGGATGGTTCACTCTCTCATAGCCTAGCTAAAACAAGGAGAGTGACCATAGTATGGATATATCATATAGTTTTTTAGTATGCCAATAACTTATTAAATAAGTTAACTTCAAAACGAAATGATGTATCATATAGTTATACTATATTAACTTATGGTTGTATCTATACTTTACTATCTATACTATACTATACAAAATATACAATAATATTATTTATTTATATAATAATATTATTAAAGCATATACTTTAACTTGCATAACAAGCATAAAGCGAGAGAGAGTCTCTCTCTGTGTGCGAGAAAGGGGAAATATGTAAGCAAATACAGATACAATATTTACAAAAACATGTGACTTATTCAATAGTTTTTCAAACATCTATTTTTTTTTTTATTTATTAATGAGAACAAGACTATTTCAAAACAAAATAATGTTAAAATTATCTCTGAGTAATCAGGCTATTGAAGTAACAAAGTATTATAACCTAAATATTAAACTTACTTTGAAGAATGGTGCTATATTTTTCAAAAATTTTAGTTATCTAGAGTTATTAACAATATTAGGATTAATTTGAAAAATATTGTTCTGCTATTAATTATTTCAATTATCAAAGGATTTTCAATTATCCAAATGGAATGCTTTTCACAAATCAGTAAAACTGTTATCTGTTGCTGTTGAAAATAGTATTACAATTCTTGAGATAAAAGCAAATTGTTCACATTGGTTGTAGCTATTAGATTGTACTGTTTTTGGTGTTTTGAAAACTACAATACTTGTTGTTCTGATTTATTCAATACTTGCTCTGTCAATGAGTCAAACTTTTTTATACTGCACATCAAATATAAGAATAATATTTTTATTTGTGCAAAAATGGTACCATAAAGTCTCAATCAGAAATATCACTGAAAAAAACTAATAAAGAACAAGTGAATTTTAATTCAAACACAACTTTTATTAATTATGTTAATACAACTGAAACTGTAAGCATCGAAGTTACAAATGTAGATTTATATCGACTAGATAGTAACACAGCAATAATATATTTTTCATAATATGTTATGGAAATGTTGTTGAACTTTTGTTTATGTTTTCAAAATGTTACTTATATTTCTGACAATTTGAATTTTGTTTATAAATAGTTTTAGTTTATTTTTGTTTATAAATTAACTAAAATGCAATCAATAGTATTT